CGTGTCACGACGCGCTATGCCCTGTGAACAGATATATAGCGTCTCACTTCGCTCCGCGGTGCGGGAGGCGGGGCTCGAGGCGGGACGCCGACGCTTGGAGGCCTGGACGTGGAGAGCGCATCGCGCCGAAACGCGGTGGGCCAGAACCTGCGGCGCGGCACGCCGAGCCCAAAAGTCCCGACCGCAATACTTCGGGAGCGGCCAAGAGGGGGGGGTGTCCAAGAGGGGGGGGTGCAAATCATGACCGGCGGCACGTGCGCGGCCCAGCGGGGGGGCCAGTGACAAAATGGAATCAGAAGAGGCGCCATGAAATCTGAGGAAATATCATGGCCCCCGCCATGATACCCCCCCCCCTAGTCATCACCCCCCTCTTTTTGCCGCTCCCGAATGCTGTGCGCCGCCCCTCCCTCCGCGGAGGCGCACGTCGGGAGCCAACACATAGCACGGACACCTTCCAACACGCCGTGGCCCGGGCGATGCGGCCGCAGAGCGCCCGCAGCGAGACTGCAGCGCTGAGGCTCCCGAGCGCCCGCGTGGCCCCCGTGGGACCCGCCGCGCACGGAGTCCGACACTATGTCTGCATGGTTCGGGGGGGCCGACTGCGGCGACGCGCAAGGCGTTGTCCCAGGCAAGGGTTGGCGGCGCGCAGAGGGGGGTGGGGGGGGGGGGGGGGGCTTCTTAGAAGCAGGCTGCTTCTCAGAAGGCGCTGGCCCTGCATCTACAGATTAGGCCCGCGCCTTCTCAGAAGCAGGGGTGCTTCTGAGAAGCCCCCCCCCCCCCCCCCCCCCACCCCCCTCTGCGCATGGCTGAAAGGGTGACCTCTGCCGCGGCGGCGGCCCGGGGCCGCGGGGAAGCCGGACCCCGGCGCGCAGACCAGTGCGGCAGGGACCCCCCGGGGGACCCGCACCGGAAGGCTCCTCCCCAGCGAGGGGCCACTCCTGTGTGCGCCGCCGACGACGGGCCCCCCGACGCTGCCACCAGCGCGCGCAACGGGGGCGTGGGGGGAGGGAGCGAGGGGCCCCAGGACACACAAATAAATGCACACAGATAAGACTATTCCTCATGTTCTCCTGTATGTTCTGGGTTTCTGTGCTCCCCCCCACTTCCCATATTTTTTCATATTTTCCTGGGGCTCGACGATGAATTGTGTCTGTGTGTTTTTTCCCTCCTGAAGGGAGGGAGGCACCTCACGAGGAGGCCGATTTTCAGAAGGCGCCGGCCTGACATCTGGAATCGAGGCCGCGACTTCCGAGAATCGGGGGGGTCTCCAGGAAGCCTTCCCCCGTCCCCCCACCGCGCGCGGCCGGCAGCAGCTCGAGGCTCCCGGCTCCGACCACAACGCTGTTCGAACCGAAATGGCGCCAAAAACGAGCAACGAAAGGAAACCCAACGCTCAAAACTGAAGGGGCCCTGGGACACGCAAATAAATACACACCAAGAAAAGGATTCCCCATGTTTTCCTATATTTTCTGAGTTTTTGTCTTCCCCTCCTTTCCCATATTTTTCTATATTTTCCGGGGATCGACGAATTATCGTGTCTGTGTGTTTCTTCCCCTCCTGACTAAAACGAACAACGAAAAGAGACCCAACGCTCAAAACGAAGGACCTGGGGGGCCGTCGAGGGGGCACTCGTGCAGTCCAGAGGCCGAATGCCAGAGCAGTCTCGCAGCTGGCACGAGCACTCCGGGGCCCCGGGGAGGGTTGCGGGAGACGCTTGCGAGGATCGGGTCGGGCGAAAGGGGGGATAGCAAAGGGGGGATTTGAGAATCAGCTCACGCAGCTGATTTTCCCGGCGCCTCCCGGCGCCGGAGGCGGCTTTGTATCGAGGACTGGGCCCCCCGGTGAAGCCGAGACCAGCTGCATGCAGCAAATTTCGACCCCCCCCCTTCCCAATCCCCCCTTTCGTCCGGCCTGAGAGGAAGCTTGACAAGGATGCGCAGGAGGGTTGCAAGCTTGGCATGAGAACCGCGCGCGGAGCCCCGGAGGCGAGGACCCGCGGGGTCGTCGGGGGTGCGGCCATGAGGGGCAGCGTTCGAAGGAAGCACCGGGCCCAATGGGGGGGAGAGCATCGGACTAGAATCGGCGGTAAGCCGCCGGTATTGAGCAGGGACCGACCGTCCCGGCATTCCTATAGTCCTACCACGAAATGTTCTTAGAACCCAAAGATGTTCTAAGAACAAAAACAATGTTCTTATAACATAAACCCGATGTGTTAAAACAAGACAATCTCAGCCAGAAATGTTCTAAACATACTTCGTGGAAACCACACGAGGTTCTTAGAACATTGTTTGGTAGGGCTATAGGCGAGCCGGGACGCTTCGCCACTGCTTGACGGAAATCCGCGCGCTCCTGGGCGGGGTGGGCTGTCGAGCCCCCATCGGGCATCAATGGGCGACTGGAGGTCGATGCATCCACCCCTCGGGACCTGACCGGGCGTGCGCAGGCCCACAGGAATTGTGGCCGCAGCGCCTTCTCGAGAGCAGCCACCGTGCTCGGGTTGGACGTGGTTGGAAATGTACGATCGGGAGCTCTTGCTTAACTCGTCGCTCCGCTCCGCGGGGCGGAAAGCGGGGAAACACTCGGGACGTTGACGCTTTGGGACCGGGATGTGGATAGCTCGTCGCGCCGAAGCGTGGTGGGTCAACACCGGCGACCGTGTGGGCCTCCCTCCTGGTGCGACGTTGCGGAAGAGCTAGAACATCGCGACAAATCACGACTGGAGCCCTAGACCCCGTCTTTCTGCAGCATGCTTCGAACCGGATCCATCTGTGATGGTCCCAGGGCCCGAGACCCCAAGAACACGATGCAACGCCAGGATCTCGGGAGAACCCCCTGGAGCCGAATTCGAAATCACAAGCTTTCGGCTGGTGCTCAAGCCAGGCTAAGCTGCAGACAAGAAGACATACCAGACACGGACTGGCGCACAACGTTGGGGTGCGCGATTGCGAGGGCGACGGCATAGAGACATCATCAGCATCAACATCAGCATCAGCATCAGCATCAGCGTCATCAGCATCATCATCATCATCATCATCATCATCATCATCATCATCATCATCATCATCAGCATCAGCATCAGCATCAGCATCAGCATCATCATCATCATCATCATCATCATCATCATCATCATCATCATCATCATCATCATCATCATCATCATCACCAACATCATGGGAGGCCAGGAAGGAGGAGAGAGGAGAAAAAAGGGAGGTGGGAGGAGGAAACAGGGTGTCGTAGCGTGCACCTGCTTCTCATCACACAATGGCAGTAGGAGGGGCTCCGCAGCTATCACCGGTGCCGCGGGGCCCCGCTGGCGCTGCCAAAGTGCCTAGAGGTCCCTGGAGGTCTCTGGCGGGGGCCTCTGGGGCCAGATGGGAAAGTACGCACAAGCACGTCGGAGCCTCGGCCCTCCCCCTCCTCCCTCCTCCTCCCCCTCCTTCTCCCTCCCCCTCCTCCTCCTCCTCCTCCTCCTCCTCCTCCCTCCTCCTCCCTCTTCCTCCTCCCTCCTCCCCCTCCCTCCCCTCCCTCCTCCTCCCTCCTCCCCCTCGGTCCTCCTCCCTCCCCCTCCCTCCTCCCTCCTCCTCCCCCCCCTCGGTCCTCCTCCCTCCCCCCTCGGTCCTCCTCCCTCCCCCCTCCTCCTCCCTCCCCCTTGGTCCTCCTCCCTCCCCCTCCCTCCCCCTCCCTCGCCCGGGTGAAAGCACGGGGGTCTGCCAAAGGACGCGGGTCATCCCGCTAATTACCGTCTCTGCCCTGGGCGGGCTGCCCGGAGAAAACGCAGTGCCGCTGGGCGCCTGCAGGTGGGACCACGGCTCGCACATCACGGCAAGCCGCCGTCCCCACGCCAGCCCTGGATGCTACGACCAAGAGTGCATACCTGAGCGCTGGGTGAAAACGCTGCAGCGCGCGTGATCTCCAAGGAGCTAGTCAACACTTCACACAGATGACAACGTCTTTTGGCCCCACGTCTGATCACCCACGGCTAGTCACCAGCGCATGGAAGAGGCCTCGGACATCAACCTTCCCTCCAGAGGGGAGCTGTAACGAGATGGGGCTGGCTCAGCCCAGTCAGGGAAGGACACCTCGGGTTGGAATCGACGATACAGTCAACCCGTAGAAGAAAGACGCACGATAAGGATGCATGTGCATTGGAAGGCCAGGTCGACACTTTGCGAGCAGGGCGCGGCCAGGGATAGCGGCCAAGGATGGACCGAAGGGAAGGATGCAAGGGTAACCTTGGAAAGTCGCTCATCCTTACTTTGCGGGTTGACTGTACGCGATGCATCGACGATCGATCAGCGACTATGCTGATTGCCCTGCCTCCTGTAGGTCGGCGCGGGGCGGCGTCCTTCTTGTTGGGCTTGTCCGCTCCCTCGGGGTTGCCGATCTGGGCCCCGAGGTACGGGCGGTACTTCTCCTGCACGGGGAGTGCGGTGCAGAGGCGGCGTGGGTCGCGCCCGAACGGACGAAGCGGAGCGCTGCTGAGGTGAAGGGGGCTGGCTCGCCCTAGAAAGGAATGGAACAATGAGGACGAGAGGGATCCCCGCGCCGCCGAGGACTGGCAACAGCCGGCGCAGCATCGGCCACGCACTCAAGACCTTCCTCTTTGCCTGGCATCGACTATGCGGCCCGCACCTGGGAGGGGCGGGCGAGGGGGCCCGCTTCCCCCCTCACTGTGCCGCTCCGCTACACATGTGGGCCACACACTTTGACTCCATACGCATACGTAATACGAGAACGATGCGCATGCACCGAGGCATGTTTATACTCTCTTCAGGCTCCCCTCCAAAACGGTACGGTGCATAGTTTACCGTCTCCAAAAAAAAAGCCGAAGAACTACACTCAAAACTTATGCTAAGAAATCTTCCAGTAAGAAATTGAAACCCAGCTTCGCTGAATTTCCGAGCCCCTTTGCGAGAGCCAGCTTTGAAGCGTGCAATTTCTTCGCGCAGCGCGACGCCAGTGTGGGTGGTTCCGATGAAGATTGTGCCCGTGATTGTGCCGATTGCGGCGCCGGGGGCTCTGCAGCAAACAACGTACAGGAACACGTCAAGATCTGGGCGAAGATCTGGAATGTGATCTGGGGGAATATCCGAGGGAACAGCCAGAGCAAAATCCGGGAGGCGATCTATGGAAATCTGTAAGAAGATCTGGGGGAAGATGTGGAGGAAGATCTGGAGAAATATCTGCAGGAACATATGGAAGGAGATCTGGGGGAGTATTTGGATGACCACACGGGGAACAAGCTAGAGGAAGATCTCGGTGAAGATCTGGAGGAAGATCTGGAGGAAAATCTGGCGGAAGATCCGGAGGAAGATCTGGAGGAAGATCTCGAGGAAGATCTGGAGGAAGATCTGGAGGAAAATCTGGATGAAGATCTGAAGGAAGATCTGGATGAAAATGTGGGGGAAGATCTGGAGGAAGATCTGGAGGAAGATCTGGAGAAAGATCTGGAGGAAGATCTGGAGGAAGATCTCGAGGAAGATCTGGAGGAAGATCTGGAGGAAGATCTGGAGGAAAATCTGGAGGAAGATCTGGAGGAAGATCTGGAGGAAGATCTGGAGGAAGATCTGGAGGAACATCTGGAGGGAGATCTGGAGGAAAATCTGGAGGAAGATCTGGAGGAAGATCTGGAGGAAGATCTGGAGGTGATCTGGAGGAAGATCTGGAGGAAGATCTGGAGGCAGATCGGGAGGCAGATCTGGAGAAGGATCTGGAGGATGATCTGGAGGAAGATCTGGAGGAAGATCTGGAGGAAGATCTGGAGGAAGATCTGGAGGACGATCTGGAGGAAGATCTGGAGGAAGATCTGGAGGAAGATCTCGAGGAAGATCTGGAGGAAGATCTGGTGAAGATCCGGAGGAAGATCTGGAGGAAGATCTGGAGGAAGATCTGGAGGAAGATCTGGAGGAAGATCTGGGGGAAGATCTGGAGGAAGATCTGGAGGAAGATCTGGAGGAAGATCTGGAGGAAGATCTGGAGGAAGATCTGGAGGAAGATCTGGAGGAAGATCTGGAGGAAGATCTGGAGGAACATCTGGAGGAAGATCTGGAGGAAAATCTGGGGGAAAATCTGGAGGATGACCTGGAGGAAGATCTGGAGGAAGATCTGGAGGAAGATCTGGAGGAAGATCTGGAGGCAGATCTAGAGGAACATCTGGAGAAGGATCTGGAGGAAGATCTGGAGGAAGATCTGGAGGGAGATCTGGAGGAAGATCTGGAGGAAGATCTGGAGGAAGATCTGGAAGAAGATCTGGAGGAGGATCTGGAGGAAGATATGGAGGAAGATCTGGGGAAGATCCGGAGGAAGATCTGGAGGAAGATCTGGTGGAAGAGTTCTGGAGGAAGAGTTCGGGAGGAAGAGCTCGGGAGGAAGATCTGAAGGAAGATTTGGAGGAAGATCTGGAGGAAGATCTGGAGGAAAATCTGACAGAAGATCCGGAGGAAGATCTGCAGAAAATGGGAGTGGATATGGGAGAAGATCTGAAGCGACGATATGGGAAAAGGTATTGAGGAAGATCTAAAAGAATATGTTGGGATTCATGAAGAGGAAGATCTGGAGGAAGATCGGACGAGATGTGTGAAGATGTTGATGAGGATTTGCAGGGAGATCTGAAGAACGATCATGCAAGCTGGAGGAAAGTCTGGAGGAAGATCTGGAGGAAGATCTGGAGGAAGATCTCGGGGAAGAACTGGAGGAAGATCTGGAGGAAGATCTGGAGGCAGATCTGGAGGAAGATCTGGAGGAACATCTGGAGGAAGATCTGGAGGAAGAGTTCTGGGGGAAGATCTGGAGGAAGATCTGGAGGAACATCTGGAGGAAGATCTGGAGGAATAGTTCTGGGGGAAGATCTGGAGGAAGATCTGGAGGAAGATCTGGAGGAACCTCTGGAGGAAGATCTGGAGGAAGGTCTCCATGAGGATCTGGAGGACAATCTGGAGGAAGATCCGATTGAATCCAGGGAGAAGATCTGGGTGAAGATCTGGGGGGGGAAATCTGGAACAAGATATGGAGGAACATCTGGGAGGAAGATCTGTGATGATGATCTGAAAGGAAGATCTGGGAGGAAGATCTGGGTGAATATCTGGGTGAATATCTGGGTGGAGGGAAGATCTGGTGAAGATCTGGGAAGAAGATCTGGAGGAATATCTTCAAGAAGATATGATGGTTATGCTGGTGGCTCTGTTGGTGGTTGCGCTGGTCTCTGTGCTGTCGGTCGTGCTGCTCGTTTTGATGGTGGTTTCGCTGGTGACGATTTTGCTGGTGATGGTGATGGCGCTGCTAGTTGCGATAGTGGTTGCGCTCGTGGTGGTGGTGGTTGCGATGGTATTTCTGCCACTAGTTTTGCTGGAGAGGCGGATGGTGGTTTGGCTGGGGATTCTGCTGGCACGCTGGCGGAGGAAACGCCCAGTGGATGAAGTGCTGGTGCGTTGGCAGAGATTTCGAATAAAGTTCTTTGTTAATACTTGCGCCGGTGGTTTTGCTGGACATGTTGCTGGTGGTCGCGTTGTTCATTTTGCTGGTGATTCTGCTGGTGGTGGCCTCGTCCGCACTTTTCTCCGCCTCCTCCTCCGCCTCTTCCTCCTCCTATTCCTCCTCCTCCTCCTCCTCCTCCTCCTCCTCCTCCTCCTCCTCATTGTTCCCGTCCTTTTCCTTTCCTTTTCTTCCTGCTCGTTTTCCTCCTCCGCCTCCTCCTCCTCCTCCGCCTCCTCCTCCCTGTCCTCCTCCCCTTCCTCCTCCTCCTCCTCCTCCTCCTCCTCCACCTCCTCCTCCTCCTTCTCATACTACTCCTACTCCTAGGTGGGGGGCACAGTCTGGGGGGGCAAAGTCTTCGGTGGAAATCTGGGGGACAATCTGCGTGGCGACCCGGAAGAAGATCTGGAGGAAGATCTGGAGGAAGATCTGGGGGAAGATCTGGAGGAAGATTTGGGAGAAGATCTGGAGGAAGATCTGGAGGAAGATCTGGAGGAGGATCTGGAGGAAGATCTGGAAGAGGATCTGGAGGAAGATCTGGAGGAAGAGTTCTGGAGGAAGATCTGGAAGAAGATCTCGAGGAAGATCTGGAGGAAGATCTCGAGGAAGATCTGGAGGAAGATCTGGAGGAAGATCTGGAGGAAGATCTGGAAGAAGATCTGGAGGAAGATCTGGAGGAAGATCTGGAGGAAGATCTGGAGGAAGGTCTCCATGAGGATCTGGAGGAAGATCTGGAGGAAGACCTGGATAAAGATCCGATTGAATCCAGGGAGAAGATCTGGGGGGGGAATCTGGAACAATATATGCTGGAGGAAGATCTGGGAGGAAGATCTGTGATGAAGATCTGGGAGGAAGATCTGGGTGAATATCTGGGTGAATATCTGGGGGGAAGGATCTGGAGGGAAGATCTGGTGAAGATCTGGGAGGAAGACCTGGAGGAAGATCTGCAAGAAGATATGATTGTTATGCTGGTGGCTCTGTTGGTGGTTGCGCTGGTCTCTGTGCTGTCGGTCGTGCTGCTCGTTTTGATGGTGGTTTCGCTGGTGACGATTTTGCTGTGATGGCGCTGCTAGTTGCGATAGTGGTTGTGCTCGTGGTGGTGGTGGTTGCGATGGTATTTCTGCCACTAGTTTTGCTGGAGAGGCGGATGGTGGTTTGGCTGGGGATTCTGCTGGCACGCTGGCGGAGGAAACACCCAGTGGATAAAGTGCTGGTGCGTTGGCGGAGATTTCGAAAACATTTATTTGTTAATACTTGCGCCGGTGGTTTTGCTGGACATGTTGCTGGTGGTCCGTTGTTCATTTTGCTGGTGATTCTGCTGGCGGTGGCCTCGTCCGCACTTTTCTCGTCCTCCTCCTCCTCCGCCTCTTCCTCCTCCTATTCCTCCTCCTCCTCCTCCTCCTCCTCCTCCTCCTCATTGTTCCCGTCCTTTTCTTTTCCTTTTCTTCCTGCTCGTTTTCCTCCTCCGCCTCCTCCTCCCTGTCCTCCTCCCCTTCCTCCTCCTCCTCCTCCTCCTCCTCCCCCTCCTCCTTCTCATACTACTCCTACTCCTAGGTGGGGGGCACAGTCTGGGGGGGCAAAGTCTTCGTGGCGACCCAGAGGAAGATCTGGAGGAAGATCTGGAGGAAGATCTGGGGGAAGATCTGGAGGAAGATTTGGGGGAAGATCTGGAGGAGGATCTGGAGGAAGATCTGGAGGAGGATCTGGAGGAAGATCTGGAGGAAGATCTGGAGGAAGATCTGGAGGAAGATCTTGGGGAAGATCTGGAGGAAGATCTCGGGGAAGATCTGGAGAAAGATCTGGAGGAAGATCTGGAGGAAGATCTAGAGGAAGATCTGGAGGAACATCTGGAGGAAGATCTGGAGGAAGATCTGGAGGATGATCTGGAGGAAAATCTGGAGGAAGATCTGGAGGAAGATCTGGGGGAAGATCTAGAGGAAGATCTGGAGAAAGATCAGGGGAAAGATCTGGTGAAAGAGCTGCGTGGCGACCCGGAAGGAGATCGGGAGTAAGATCTGAGAGGAAATCTGAAGGAAGATCTGGTGCAAGATCTGGGGGAAGATCCAGGGGAAGATCAGGGAGAAAACCTGAAGGAAGATCAGGGAAAGATCTAGGGGAAGATCTCTATGAAGATCTGGGGGGAGATCTAAGGAGGGATTGATCTGGGCGAGGATCTGAAGGAAGATCTGGGCGAAGATCTCGGAGAGGATTTGGGCGAAGATCTGGGGGAAACTCTCGGAGAGAATACAGAAGAAGATCGGGAAGACTATCTGAGGGAAGATCCAGAGGAAGATCTACACGAAGATCTGGAAGAAGATCCCGAAGATCTGGAGGAAGATCAATAAGAAGATGCCGGCGTTAAGAAACTGAGCCAGCTTTTGGGAATTCGTTATCGATTTTAAAGAAATTTTGAGACCCAGCTTGGCGGGAGGGAGTTTCTTAACAGAAGGTATGAGTGTATGCCGAACCTTTCCTGGGTCGGGGACCGACGACGCCTCGGGATAATGCAACGCGGTACGGTACACACGAGACGTCCGCGGACATAGCGCGTCAACTGTCCAGACTGTGCCGAATCTGCTGAACACCAGGAACTGCGAGACCACAAACAACTGTCACGGAGGTGTCGCCGAGAATCGCTGCCTCACAGGAGGGACGAGGAAGGCAACGCAAGTGGGGAGGCGAAATTGGTGGAAGCAGGCCGCAGTGCTTGGTAAAGGCAACCCTGGGCCCTAGCGATAATGCACAGTCAATACTGGCAGTAAGAATGCACGACAAGGATGCAAGGGCCTTGGACGCTCATGCCGAAGCTTTCCGAGCGGGACTGGCCATCGAAAGTGGTTGAGGATGGACCGAAGATGACCGAAGCTGACCGACAAAGGGCGCGCGTGCCCACTTGTGGAGCTCTGGTCCTCGAATTCGCGGATGCCGCTCCAATACGCCCACTGGGTGTCAGTGTCGATGTTCATCTTAATCACGCCTGCCACCCTTCTCCTCTCCTCTCCTCTCCTCCTGCTCCTCCTCCTCCTCCTCGACCGCCCCCCCATCCTCCACTCCCCTCATCCGGCCTGCCCATCCATCTTTCGCTCTTTTTTTTTTGTTCTCTCTCTCTCTCTCTCCCCAGCACAGGCGATCCCTGAGCTACGGATCGGTCAGAGAGCGAGAGAGAGAGAGGAGGGCGGCGTCAGAGTGAGGCACCCCTGTAGTAATGGTAGACTTGATGTGCAAACAGATGCGCGGCGGCTCAACTGGCATTCACTGTGTCGACAGAACGTCGGAATTAACATCGAACAACCAACACGCGCACACAACCAGTGAGCTCCTGCGCGGCAGCTGATCTTCTCTCTGCTCGCTGACTCAGGTGTCCTTGCTTTCCCACCTCCCCGTCATCGCGCACTTGGCTGCTCCTGTGAGTGTACCCGTCAATCCAAAGTCCGCGAGATAGGGTGCAGCAAACAATGAAGCCAACGTGGACGGTCACACCCAGGTCGCACTAAGATACCCATGAGGACCAGAGCCTCGGGTGCGAATCGGGACGCCAATGTGGCCCAACTCCTTGTCAGCAGCCCGCGGACCTCCGCCTCCTCCTCCTCCTCCTCCTCCTCCTCCTCCTCTGGCGTGCCGTGTCTGCCCCTCGTGCCCCTCCGTAGTCGATGGCCTGGCGGATGTCCTTGAGGTCGGAACCTTAGGGGAGCGTGCCGCTACAATCTTGCCGTCGCTCGGACGTCCATCTCCCGTGCATGTTTCAGTTCCGTGCGTGTTTTGTTTCCGCTCGATGATCCAGGATGTTCCTCAAGGGTCCTCGCCGAGAAAAAATACGCACGTCCGAGCGACGGCAGGCAGTGTTTCAAATGAGAACGCATGGGATGCGACCAGACATGCCAAGTTTGGACAGCAGCGCAACACCTGCCATCGCTCGGACGTCCATTCCCAACGTTTTTGTCGGTTTCGTGCGTGGTCTTTTCGCCAAATGATCCAAGATGCTCCTCGAGGGTCCTCGACGAAGGAAAAATGCACACGTCCGAGCGACGCCAAGAGCACCCTCCCGCTTCGGGGCACGGGGCGCCTGAATCGCACACGCCGTGGAGAGAGCGCGGCTGCAGCGCGGGACGGACAAGCCGCAGTACTTATACAGATTAGCTCCAGCATGCCGAGGGTAATGAAGGGCCCGAGCGTTCTTGTACTGTCAGTGAGCGTGAGGCTCAAGGACTCCGCGGCGCGTCATCCTGAATACCAGCACCCCAAAGCAGCAACGGGAGATGCGCTGCGGCGTCTCGAGACTCCAGAGGCTCGCGCTCGAACGTGCGCTTCTGAGTATTTGGCAGCGAGGCTCACGCTCAAGCGCGGGCTTGATTCTGAATTGGTGTTGCTGGAGGCCCCTGAGCATAAGCAAAGGCTCCCGCCCTGGACTCCACCAATTTTTTCGACGGCGAGCCCGGGGGGGAAGTGAGAGGGAGCAGGCCTTCTCAGAAGGCGGCGGGGCTTGTCAGAAGTCCTCGCTCCTTCTGAAAAGTCTTCTGTGGCTTCGGAGAAGACTCAGCCAATTTCTCAGTAGGCGCGAGAGATTCTGGGAAGTCCCGCCGGCCTCTGAGAAGGCCCGCCCCCTCTCACTTCCCCCCTGGGCTCACCACCGACACTCTTGCTCAGGCAAACCCAACTAAAGCCTGAGACCTCCTCACACTTTGCTTGGGAATCGAGCTCTCCCCCAAGACCCCTCTCCTCTCAATGCACTCGGGCATCGCGCCATCTGTCTACTCCAGAACCGCGACAGGCCTCGGAACAAATTGGCGAACACTCATGCCCCATCATCTTGTCCACGCCTCCCCCTCCCCAGTCTTCCAAGTTGGCGGTGGGTCTGATGAGATGCACCTCGACCGCAGTCTCCCCCGCGCGTGCCAACATTGAGTTTTTCGGGAGCGGCCAAGAGGGGGGTGTCAAAGAGGGGGGGGTGCAAATCATGACTGGCGGCATGTGCGCGGCCCAGCGGGGGGGCCAGGGACGCAATGAAATAAGAAGAGGCGCCATGAGATCTGGGGAGATATCATGGCCCCCGCCATGATATCCCCCCCCCTAGTCATCACCCCCCTCTTTTCCGCCCCCGAATTTTGGGAAAGGGGGAGTGTTCAATAATTGCTTCCCTCTACCGCGACCACGCCGGGGTGCTCGATGGCAACCTACTCTACCGGGCCGCGCCTCGCTCTGGCGCTTCGCCTCCATCTTCTTGGGGCTCCCACTCCCGCCGCTCCAGCGCGCGCTCCCTCTCGGGAGGTCCTCCCGAATCGCCCACATGTCGCGTCCTCGCCCTGACGCTGGCTGCTTCGGGGCCCTCATTTCGTGACCTCTTGGACGTTTACGCTTCTGGACCTTGCGCTCTCCACTGCGGAGCACGCCCCTTTTCCAACCTCCGCTCCCACTCAGTTCCTCCAATTCCCCCCCCTCCCTCCCACCCTCCCCTCCCACCCTCCCCTCCCTCCCACTTCATAGCTCGGCGTTCGCAATCTCCGCTCTCGCCCATGACTCACCAGCGCTGGGGTTCACCGAGGAGCTGCTACGACAACTGGTCCCCTGGATGTCTACGTTCATAGACATAGATGGTGAGTGGCACGGTGAGAGAGAAACATACGGAAGGTCAAGCCAACATGCTGGATCAAATGCTCGGACAAATGGACATTGCTCTCGTCGTCGCCCCGTCAACCATGTGCTTGTATATAAACGCGTGCGGCGCTTCGCACCATCGGCCGCGCACTGCTCCCGCGACCCACCAACAACTCGCTTGCGACACGAGGCCACGACCTGTCCGCACGCCAGTCAGCTGTGAGACATGTGTACGTACACGGGGCGGGCTCATTCTGATTTGCGGGACCTCCGCGTTTAATCACAGAATGTCGACACGCTCGCGAAAAAGAAGTTCGACGTCGGCGCTGTTCGCAGAAGGGAACGCAGACCGGGGAACATGAAGAAAATGTGGGGCCCTTCCAAATTACCAAGCTTATCCCGAAGTACGTTCTCTCCCCATGACGCAAGACCTAGCAGCCTTCGTGTAGTGGGCATCGGGCGCTGGTTCGGCAAGCGCCCACCAGCGATGGACTCACCTTGACTTATGGAGCGGCCGCCTCAACGACAGGCGCTCGACCCGTCTGTGACCTTGACGTGACGGCAGTCTGCCGCCACGATGTTTCCTTACGTCACGGTCGGAGCACTGGCGTGCCCAATTTAACTTGTAAGCCCAAGCATCACCGACGCCTGCTTGGAGGTGTAACGTTCGGGGGGGCGACTGGTTCAGGGGGAGAAGCATCGACGCGGAATCGGAGGTAAACCGCCGAAAGATCGGCGACAGGTCACCGAGATAACGAGCACTTGCGTTCCGGAGTGAGGCGAGCAAGCCTTTGATAACCTGCGGACGCATTGGCCAGGCGTGCATTGTCGGCGCTGGTGGTGGGCTCCTTGCGACACGGCTGCCTGCGACGCGCTCGCAGTTTGCGTTGGCCACGCGGTGCCCAGCCACGTCGCACTGCTCTTGCAACTCGGGCCGGGGGGCCACTGCTGCTCCCATCGGGCACGGGGCGAGGCAGATGCGACGCCCACTTACTGATCGCCCCCCCAACCCCGACTGGGACGTGGCAATCTGGCTTTCCCACACGAGGCAGACGGCCCCCATCCCCACCTGGGAGGAGAGGAGCGTTTTACTTGTCCAGAGAATTCGCCAGCCCATCCCGTTCCATCTCTGAGGCACGCACATCACTCTCACCCGCAGAGAAGGGCAGCTGAGTGGCTTAGGCAAAAGGAAACGCGGCATGCCTGAACCGAAGACGAGACCCACTGAGGCCAGAGCCAGAACCGCCGTGGAATACGAACTTCACTGGCTTGTCACCGGCCTCGTCTGGAGGGGGGCTAAATATCCCTGCCGAGGACAGAGGGGCGTGCAGAACGGAGGGATGGAAAATGGCGGGAGGAGAGCATGTCGGGAGGAGGTCCTCGGGGGAGAGGGGCAGAAACAAGGGGAGAAGGAAAGGGAGGAGGAGGAGAAGGAAGAGGAGGAGGAAGAGGAAGAGGGAGGGACACATTTACCGTGGCTACATATGCGGATGATGTAGCCTACATCATCCGCAAATGCTATACACACTGCGTGGGTGACAACGTGACGTGAGGCGGAACACCGCCGGGCGACACGGGAACGCCACACGAGAAGGCATCGTCAGCGAAGCGTCGAAAGAGGCGGAAGGAGGGACGAGGAGGTGAGGAGGGAAGGGCGGGGAGCGCCAGGGGAGGGACCACGAGTCAGGAGACGGGGTCGTGGAGGAGGGGCTGTCAGTGGCCAGGCAATCAGTGTCCAGTCGCGGGCGGGGGGGGCAGCCATCCCCCGCCTTCCTCCTCCCCTCCTCGCCTCCCACTCCTCCTTCTACTCCTTTGTTCTACCTGCCCTCCCCCCCGCCCTTCACCTATCAACCTTCGCGCCTCGCCCCTCGCTCGTCACCTCCTCCACGACTTCCTGTTCCATCCACGCTCCTCCTCTCTCCATCCTCCATCCTCCCCCTCATCCACCCTCCACGCCCTCCGCCCTTCAAATATTACTCAATTCGGATGCCATTGCCTCTTCTCCACTGGCGTTGTGCAGACACTGTCCCACCCTCTCCACATTATCGTCTGTATACACAATAACAATGTGTTTGATGCGTCCAGTTCCTGTTTGTGCAATCCGGTAGGTGTTTTAGTCCTTCCAGACGGCGTTGCCGCTGCAGCGAGGGCCTCATTTTAGGACCGGGGCTTTGCTCCCGCCGTTCAGACTGGCACTCTCGCCCCAGCTTGGGACACTCTTCTGGATCCAAGTTGTTCCTCGTCGTTGTCGCCCCTTCCTTTACCCTCGTCCGCCTTCCCCTGGTCCTGCTGCTCCTCCTGATCCGTCCGCATCAAGTCCTGCTGCGCCTGACCGTCCTGTTCCATGCTTTCTGTTCCTCATCCCCCTCTTCCTTCTGCTAATCCCCCTGCTGACCCGCCACCTCCTCCCCCCCAAATGTACGCAGCTCCACTTTTGAGATTGTGCATTCAACGGTGGGGCCCGTGTGGGAGTTCCATGCCCACCGCTTCGACACGGGAGGGTGCGTCAGATCTGGCGCGGGTGCACCGAACTTGCCCCCCATCCCTCTGCCCCCTCCTGCCTCCGCGCGCCCCGCGCCCACCCACCCACGCCCCGCCGCCTCCCCCCAGGTCCCCTTCCCCATGGCCGCGCCGAGTCGACCTCCTCTTCCTCCTCCTTATCTTCATCTCCTCCTCCTCCTCCTCGTCGTCCTCCTCCTCCTCCTTGTCCTCCTCCTCCTCCTCCTCCTCCTCCTCCTCCTCCTCCTCCTCCTCCCCCTCTTCCTCTTCCTGCAACTCTTCTTACTGCTCCTCCTCATCGTCCCCCCCACCTTCTCGTCCTATTCCTCTCCTCCTCCTCCTCCTCCTCCTCCTCCTCCTCCTCCTCCTGTTCCTCCCTTTCCCCGTCCTCCCCTTCCCCCCCCTCCTCCTGCTTTTCCTTCTCCTCCCCTCCCCTTCCTCCTCATATTCCTCCTCCTCCTCATCCTCCTGTTCTTCCTCCTCCTCCTCCTGCTCGTCCTCCTCCTCCACCTCCTTTTTCGTCCTGTTTCCTCCTCCTCCTGTTTTTCTCCTTCCCCTTCTCCTCCTCCGCCTCCGCCTCCTTCTTCTCCTGCTCGTCCTCCTCCTCTTCCTCCTCCTGTTGTGTTTCCTCGTCGTGCTTCTCTTCCTACGTCAACTCCTCATCCGCCTCATCCTCATCATCAGCAACATTCACATCATCATTGTCATCACCATCATCATCAGCATCATCATCAGTATCATCCGCATCATCACCGGTAGCACCAACAGCAGCATCATCCTCATCATCAGCAACACCATCATCACCATCATCAACCACAGCATCATCATCATCATCATCATTAGCATCAGCATCATCATCATCATCAGCATCAGCATCATCATCCTCATCCCCCCTTCTCCCCCCCCTCCGAGCGGCGAGCGCGTCTGTCCGCGCGCCCGAACCAGTTGATCGGGAGCGGGCGCGCCGCCTCAACCTCTGAACCAGCGCGCTGCTCAGCGGTGACTGGTCCTGGAGCTGAGGGGGCGCGCCGGCCGGGGCCGATAAATTCTGACACGCGGGATCGCCAAGGCGAACGCGACGATGGTGCGGAGCGCCGCGAGCACAGGCCCGCAGCGGGTGCCAGCAGCCGGAGCTAGCAGACAGCATCCGCCCGTCCAGCCCCTGGCGCCCGCCTGGCCACCTGCCCGGCTGGCAGACTCACGTCGCCCAGCCGCGCCGCGACGCCTGGCCAGCAGCAGCGCGCTGGCGCCAGCCCCTGCGTCCTCTCCGCCGCAGTCCGGCGCCTCAGCGGCGAAGCGTAGCCGTCGCTGCCCAGGGCCGTCTGCGACCGCCGCGCCCAGTCAGTGGCGCCCAGGGCGCTGCGCGCCAGCCGTCCAGCGCCTCGCGCCGCGCGCTGCTCAGCCCCGCGCCCCCAGTTCACCGCTGCGCGAGCTGCGCGGTGGCACCCCCGAACCCAGAGTTCACCCCAGCCCGGCGGCGCGCCTGAGCTGGCACGCCACCTGGCGCTGCAGCGCGCACCTGCGCGCCTTGCAGGCGCGCGCGGGAGTTCCGTTCCTCGGGAAGCTCGCCCACCTGCGCGAGGAGCCACTCCCGCGCCCCGGCGCCCAGGCGGCCCCAGGACACCAGGGCGAACGCGGTCATGCGCTCGCCTGCATACCTCTCGCGCTTCTCGCGTTCGACACTGCGCGCGGTCTCACCTTGCCGTCGCGCCGCGGCCCGGAGCGCCGACTCGTCGCCCGCCGCGCGACACTTCTGCTGGCCGCCGCGCGCGGTGCCTGTCCCACGCTGGGGCTCGCTGCTCGTAGAGGGGCGAGCAGCGCCGCCGCCTCTCCCCCATGCTTCCCAACGCCTTCGCCAGGTGGGCGTGGCGTCGCACAACGCCGCCGCCAGACTGGCAGGCGCGGGCGTGGTAGCCGTCGTCGCCTAAAGGGGTCGAGCAGGTGACGTCGTCGCCCGCTGTCAGGTTACAAAAAAATCGCGGAAGCCCGCGCCAGGTCTCCGCGCAAAAACTGCGGCCACGGCAGCTGCAAACGGCGGCGGAGAAAGGTGCTCCAGTTCACGTCCTCCAGAGCGCAGAGCGACTCCGTCGGGTGCTGCAGGAACCCGCCCGCCCCAGGTCCGCGGGCCGACAGCTGACTGGCCTGGCCGCGGAGATCCACTCGATGCTTGGCAGCAGCGTGCGTTGTCATGTGAATAATCGCAACGACTGTTTTCTGTCGCGTCTCCTCGCGGAACGCTGCGGCCAGCGTGGCCCCTGCAGACGGCTCGGTGCCCTGGAGCGCCAGCTCCCCCCTCTTCCTCTTCCTCCTCCTCCTCCTCCTCCTCCTCCTCCTCCTCCTCCCCGCGCCGCGAGTTCGATCCGCCTACCGCATGAGCTGGGATCTGGCTGTAACCGCCATCGCTTGAGCCTGACGTTCGTCAGCCGCGATCTCGGCGGAAACGCGCTTGCTGTGAATCACCTTATAGAGAGGAGAGCGGCGGCAGCGGGAACAGGAAGTGCATCTTGCGAGGGGGAAGTCAGGCCAAGACGGCGGATGGGTCAGCCAGGAAGAGACGGGGTGCGCAGGACGAGGCGCAACAGGTGGATAAGCCGCGGGCAAAACCAATAATGGGAGAGGCGATCGCGAAAGAAATCGGGGCCAGATGGGGTACTGCCAGAAAGGCAGTTCCCGCCTTGCTGAGAGCGCTGGTCGGTTGGCCAGCCATTGATAATAACTTTCAAGAGACAGGCCGCTCGCAGCAAGGGCAGAGAGGAGCTCGATCGAGGCAGGGGAGGAGGTGACCAGGCTCTGTACAGTGGTCGTGGAAAACTCGGATTCGCCGACGCGAGAAACTAAGCGACTGACTTTTGCTTCCAAAACTGGGGCGGCAACCGACCCAAGGCAACCTTGGCATGGGGGAGCTGAACCTCGGCGGCATTGCGGAGAAGGGCGACCCTCGGACGTCAGCTGTCCAACGTGGCGTGGCTGGCCCTCATGAGGCTCGAAGAGGTCGAGAGGGGGAGGCTGGGGAACCGGGGGCCGCTTCAACGCCAGAGGCCAAAGTGGGCCGCAGCTGAGATTGCACAGCGAAGGACGTGCCAGATGCGGGCAAGCAGGGCAGGCTCAGATAATATGAGGTGAACAAGTACAGGAGAACTTGAACAACAGATGGGAGAACCGAAGCACACCGCAAAGTAGTTCAGCGCACGCACCGACGATGCTTGAACTTGTGAGTCGGAAGAGTCCAACTCTCGGGCGACACCTCTGGCCCAAGACGGAGACCAAGATCGACCAAGCTGGGACCGATGCTGAGAGAACTCCATTCTGGTACTTGCTCTTTGATCCACTGTCGCTATTTCTCTGCAAGCTCTGGCGTGCACTCATTGGCCAAATGGACCAGCTTGCACCTGCAGACCTTCAGGATGAGAGAAAAGACGCGGACAGGAACTGAGAAGACACGATGCAATACTTGAAAACCTCAATGCGCACGATGGCCGCGCCGACGTTATCAGCGCAAGACCGGATACTTCCAGTACGTACCAGGTTCACGCTGCGATCGAAATTCTGCATGAACAGGTCCGCGCACAGCGCGAACAGGAAGCCAGACCCGGGGCAACCCTGGATGATGCCACTCTGGACGAAGTAGAACTTATGCTGGACCGTCGCTGCCGAGAAGCACCGCACATAACGACACAAGTCAGCAAAGAACCAACAAACCGACGGCGGTAATCGCATATGGAGAATAGCCAAGCGAATCCATTCATGGGCCACGCTCGGGAAGGCATGTTGGAAGACAAAACTGAACAATGATGGCATGGCTACCGAGGCGTTCGGCTGCGTGGAGTATACCCTGGATACCGCATCGAGTTCTATAGTGTAATCGCAGAAGTTTCCAATGATAGTAAAGCCTCGTTGAACCGAGTTCGTGATCATCGGGAAGTGCCTCGAAAATTTGCGAGCGAGACGAATTTGTTGTCGGTGCTTCTTAGGCCCAGCGGGCGCAAGTTGTTTGGGGCCCTGGTACATTCTGCGAGGGTGTCCTCATCCTCATAGCCCTTTCTGGATTAATGTGGCCAAGAGATCGTTGTACAAAATCGGAATCCGGCGCTCATCCAAGATCCACCACATCACCCTATGACAGATGTTCGTCGAATGTCGAGATTGCAGGAACGCCTTGTATGGGAGGCTGCTGGGCCAGGAGCAGAGTGAGGAAGACGACCGAGGCACCGCTGCATGTCAGCGAGGCTCGGGGAAAGGGTCTCGGAGAGGTCGAGGGAGGGGCAGAAGCGGGTCAGGTACACTTTCACGGCAGTCTCGCCAATGGGCTTGGGACGGAAAACCTCTCTCCAGTGCGCGGAAATTTTCTCAGACATGGCTAGCGGGGAGGAGCAGACGACTTGACCATTTTCAGCTCGCACCCCTGCGAGCGTGGTCCTGCGGTCGAGCGGTGCCCACAGCTTGGCGCGGTGGGACAGGCGCCGCAGCCTCTTCCTCAGCTTCGCCTTTGGCCGCGCCAGGCGAGGGAAGACGGGCGGCTGCTCCTCCTTCTCCTCCTCCTCCTCCTCTTCCTCCGCTTCCTCCCCCTCCTCCTCTTTCTCCTCCTCCTCCTCCTCTTCCTCCTCCCCTCGTCCTCGTCCTCGTCCTCGTCCTTGTCCTCGTGCTCGTTCTCCTCGTCCTCCTCCTCCTCCTCCTCCTTCTCCTCCTCCTCTTCGGCGTCAGCAAGGCCTTGTGGCTGCAGCGTCGCTTGCGCCGGGAGCCCAGGGCCGCTGCCGCCACGTGGGGTGGCGTACCCGCCAGGGCACGACTCCTGCTCGACCAGGAGCCTCACTATCCTCGGCCTCGAGAGCCGCGACCCCGTCGCCCCCGGGGCCCCCGGTGGAGACTTGACTGAAAGTAGGTGGGCCAGCGGCGAGTTGCGGCAGCGCCTGAGGAGTGTCCAGGCGCCCAGGCCCACCGATCATGGACGCGCCGCCCAACTCGCCATCGCTCGGACGTCCATTCCGTGTGCTTGTTCCGGTTTCGTGCGTGGTTTTTTCGCCAAATGATCAAGGATACTCCTCGATGGTCCTCGCCGGAGGAAAAATGCACACGTCCGAGCGATGCCGAGCCAAGGTTTGGCGCGCTCCAGTCACAGCTCCGCTGACCGGCCGCGCGGCGCCAACGGCGACGCTGGTGGCAGTGCCGCCGACCACCTGGCCGGCGATCTGACTGCCACTCGCGATTGCTTGGCCCATCTTGGAGGCCATCTGCCATGCGCCCCGTCCACGTCGCGCGCCGCTGGACTGGCGTCATGCTCACAGCCTGTAGGCAGTGCGCGAAAACTTCGGCGCCGCAATGCGCAAAAGCGACCGAAGGTCCGACGAGCACGTCGAAGCACGCCCGGCATTAAGTGCATCGCGACCTTCTGGTTCTGAAAGTCGGCGGTAGTAGCAGTTGTGCTCACAACCTATTGAATAGCTAGCCGTCCGCCATCTCCGCCTCCGATTCCACCACTGCTGGATTCTCCTCCGAACATGTGTCGTCCAAGATGTCTTGCCCTCCCGCCAGTCCCCTGAGCAACCTGAGGGCATCTGGAGGCCCGATGGTCAATGGCTGTCCCAAATGTGGTGGCACGGGTAATCGGAATCATACTCTCATGATTGTGTTTACTGAGATCGCGAGCCGAGCGCAAAGGCGTTCTCGCTCGCTCTCATCGGTTTGGGACCGACCATTTTCGCGCTCATTACGAACAATCCTTAAACCAAATCGGCTACGGACAAGTTCTGTCCGTCGGCGGAGGTGGCGTTGCCACCACCTCCGCATGTATTGCTGCAACCGCCTGGACGAATAACACCTGCCCCTCAGGCACAACATAGTTTCAACCACGCTCGTTTGACACCTTCAGTCGCACCGATCTTCGCCAAGGAGTGGCGTTGCCACCGCCCCCTGGCCAACTGAGCTGCCGCACCGAGTCCGTGGCACGATGCGAGGCCGAAGCATTTTCCTAAACACTGGCAAGACAACTACATATATAGACATAGATGAAAAAAAGCATTGCCAAATGTTAGATACCAGCCGATGCGTTTGCTATTCTGGACGTACTAGCCGATCCGCATTAAATCGGCGTGTCAGCCCATCCGCTATCGTTTTGGCCGGTTCTGGCGGGTTCCCCGGGCCACCGAACCACCTCAACAACTAACTCTCTGTGGCAATATAAGCGGATCCCGGCCGAGGGCCGACCAAGAAACTCGAACGTACATTCCATGCTATGTGCATATATATATATATATATATATATATATATATATATACACACGTATAACGCTAGCTGCCCACGCTGCGCCCTGGGGAAGAAGGTTATGTACACAGCTTTGACTCCCCGGCAGGGTACACCCGTCACCGCACTGTCCGTGGAACTGGTTTCAAACGTTCCGTCGGCAGCTTCCCCGATTCGCGTTCGCCGCCCGGTCCGGTGCGCCCCCGCCGCCCCCGGCGGCGAGGCGGCTCGGCCTTGCCGTCCAGCTTCTCCGAAATGTACGTCTGGGCCTGGCCGCCGCCGGCCCCCTCCCGAGATGGGAAGCACAAGGACACACTAGTAACTACTGTGTCCTCCTTGGAGGCGTGCGACCGACCCAAACACGTAGTATAACCATCTTGCAGCATATCGCTTCCCGAACGGTATGGCCAGAAAACTCCCGCCAAGGAGCTGGAGTTATAGCACAAGATTCCTCAGCGCGGGCGTCGCCCCTGGGGGGGAGCGACGCACACATAGCATTAGTGTATGTTGGGGTGACCCTAGCGAGAGGGGGGCTTGTAAGCAACAACTGCCCCGACATACCTCCAGGCAGCGCGGGGAAGCGTCCTTGCAGGCACCTCCGGGCCGCCCAGGGAAACGTCCTTGCAAGTGACTTCGGGCTGCCCTGGGGAGCGTGCTTGCAGGTACGCTTCCCTGGGCAGCCCGAAGGTACCACCTGGGTGGTGGGCGAGGCCACCCAGTGGCCTGGAGTAATGTCAGCTTGTGATTAACAAATCCGTGGGGGGCGCGTGTTGAAAAACAATTTCCCTGCTCGGGCGAACCGCGGGGTGGCCCCCGCCATATTGAAAATCAACGCGGCGGCGCCGGTGATTAGCGCCGCGCCCGGCCGCCAACAGGAGGCACGGGGGGGGGTTGGAGGCAAGGGCGAGCCAGGGCGCCCCTTTTTCTGTTGAACCGATGCGGGCCTACGGGCAAGGCGGGCTGGACGAAAGTGGGGCGCAGCAAAGGGGGGATTTGCCAAGCAGCTCACGTCGCCGATTTTCCAAGGGCCTCCCGGCGCCGAAAGCGGCCATGCGTCGAGGACTGACCCTTCGGCGGGGCGACCGAAACCAGCTGCGCGCAGCAGGCTTTGCAACCCCCCCTTCCTCCTCCTCCTCCTTCTCCCCCTCCTCCTCCTCCCCTTCCTCCCCCTCCTCCTTTTCCTCCTCCTCCTCCTCCTGCTCCCCCTCCTCTCTCCTCCTCCTCTTCCTCGCCCTTCTCCTTCTCCTCCTTATTCTTCCTCCCCCTCATCTCTCCTCCTTCCCCTGGCGCGCGTGTGAAAAAAATATCGCGCCCCGCGGGGTCTACTCATCAGGCCAGGGGGGGAGGGTGGTGGGGGGGTGCCTTTTAGTCAACCACAAGCTGGCATTACGATGAAGAAGAGGCGGCCAGCGAACTCCCGAGAGGGAGAGGGTACGAACGTCGGAGTGTGATGGAATCCTTTCCTCCGAGCTGCTCGCAGCTGTGAGCGTCGCGTGGGCTGCGAGGCCGCCCGAGCTTGCGCAGGAAGCGGCGGCGGAAACAGCGTTTTGCAGAGCCAGAGGTGAGAAAATTGCGGCCCTAAGGCCTTACGGCCAGACTGGATCGGATGGGGAGGGGGAGGGGGAGCGGGAGAGGGCGGGTGGTAACTGAGGGATGGAAGAAAGTCCCTAGCGGAACAACCAACACGCACCAGGACCACGACGACGCCAACGACGACGGAGAAGACGCGCACTTGCTATCCGCACCGAAGCACGGATGTGGGAAAGGGCTCCCTCTGCGAGGTTTGGTGCACAGCACGTCCACGATGGTGCTGCGGCATCCCCCATCGCGTAGGCCCCTCCCCGGAGCAGCAGCAGATGGAGGAAGAGTGAGGAGGCTGCGCTGAAAAGGGGGGCCAAGAATAGGGGGGTCGCCAGATATTGGCTCGCGAAGGCGGGCCATGATGCGCCAGTACCTCTCCGCAGATCCTGAGATCGAGGCGTTGCGCAACGCTGGGCATCTTCGTCCAACTTCGGGCCGCGGGACCCTCTTGGATCGACAGTGCCCGAGACGCGCCGCGGAAAGACGGGGTCGAGGATGCGGTTGTGATTGCTCGCGATGCTGATCTTTGCTCGCGACGTCAGACCTTAGGGTCTCCAGAGGAGGAGGAGGGGGAGGAGGAGGAGGAGGAGGAGGAGGAGGAGGAGCAGAGGAGGAGCAGGAGGAGGTTGAGGAGAAAGAGGCAAACTGAGGAGGATCTGTCGGTTTGAGCAGCAAGAGTACTCGATACTGAATCAGTGCGTTCCCTGCCGCTGGTCTTGCCCCCCAGCCCCTCTCGAGTTACGCCAGGCGAGGAGACCAGGCGGCGGACACAACAAAGAGGAGGAGGAGGAGCGCAGCGTAGAGGAGAGATCCATCCGACCGACCACTGCGCTCAGCTCAACAGCTGAGCACACTTCCCCAGGCTCGAGCGACTGGCTACACCAGCGATCAGAGCGGAGGACAGAGAAGCAGGGGCCGCGGCCGAAGGCAGCGGGGCGGGCGGCGGGCGCCCACCTGTGTCGAACGTCACGTGCATGTGGACGGAAAGCGGTATTTCAATCAGGGCCGCAGGAGGCGGCACGCGAGATCGAGGAAGGGTGGCAGCAGCAGGAGGGACATCAGCAGGAGCGAGAGGGCGGGTCGAGAGGACAGCCATGGAGTCACGAGCGCGGCGGACGGCCACGGAGCGAATGAGGGGACCGAGCGGGCAAACGAGAGGCAGACTATTTTCGGCGCCACGCTCACAATTCACCCTTGAAGTGCAGAGGCCAGGATTTCCACCACCATTCAGCAGCTTCGGCGACGACTGAGCCTGCAACAACGGGCTCGAGGAGCACCCGTGCACAGGACTTTGCGTTCTGCCAGTAACATCAAGCGTCATTGGCGATGTCTGAGCCTGCACCAGCGAGCTCACAGAGCTCCCATGCCCAAGACTTTGCGTTCTGCCAATAACATCCAGCAACGTTGGCGACGACTGAGCCTGCAACATCGGGTTCGAGGAGCACCCGTGTTCAGGACTTTGCGTTCCGCCAGTAGCATCCAGCGATATTGGCGACGACTGAGCCTGCAGCAACGGGCTCGAGGAGCACCCGTGCACAGGACTTTGCGTTCTGCCAGTAGCATTGTCATCCAACTCGTCGCTATGTCCACCACGTTCGGGAGTGGCGATCAGCGTCGATGGAGTGCTCGGGCAAGACATCGTGGGAACCAGTCTTGGAGTCAAGCATGGTGACTGTCCTGGGGTCAAGCCTGCGCCAGCGTCGGAGTCGGCTTCACCATCACCAGCGGCCGAGACAGCATGGACGACAACAGGGTCGTCAGCAGAGGAGGTGGAAGAATCGTCGGTGAACGTGCGCGGTGTCGGTATGAAGGACGGCGGCGGCTGCTATTTCTTTTCTATCTGGTCAGTGGGAGACGCCATACGAAGAGTTCTGACCGCCGCTCGAGTCGCCGAGTTCAGAGCATCAGGGGAAACCCAATTGTGCTCACGAATAGTGTGATACGTAGTGAACATCACGACCATCTCCTCCACCCGTTCCACACACGGTGCCGACAGGCACAGACGTTCGTGAAGAGAGGCAGGAAGAGAGCGACCCAGTGCGCGACCGACAGCTCGAACCAAACGGTGGCACCGCATGTAGTGGCACTGTCTGTCAGCACAAGAGTTACACCCAAAGATACAGAGCCTCTTCCCCGAATGGTAACTTATTCGATAACTTGTGAGCCAAGCAGATGCCCACGTCTTGATAACAGGGAAGATCCAGCTCGTGGGCAGCAGCTGCAGCAGCATCTGAATCGCCTCCCACGGCACCCGATGTAGAAAGGGTTCATACATGGCAAAGTAGCGTGCCAGCCTGGTCTCGAAAGTCGAGCTCAACGGGAACGGCGTAACGAACTGCTCGAAAAGTGCCGAGGTGGCTGCTCTCTGAAATTTGGGCTTCCGCCCCGAGACCAAGAGCTCCGAGGCGATCGCAGACGTACAACAGCGCAGGATGTCTGAAGAGTAGCCAGCATGTGCAGAGCCCTGACGCAGCCAGGAGTAGGTCTGCAGGATGGGTGGGAGCCGCCAGTGCCGTCCAGCGTCACACATCCAATCCTCTCGAGTACGACAGGTCGCGAGGGAAGCGTCATCAAATCGTCCCTGCATAATATCATCATTCCATGAAAGAGTGGTGTTAGTAATGTTAGAGCGTATGTGAGCATGCTCGCTGAACGTAATGGTAGCAGCTCGGGACAGCGCGGCAGCACATGTATGTCGCACAAGCGGGATCTTGGGGCCTCCCCACGAAGAGAGCTGGGCCCAGCCAGAGGCAGGTAGAGTACCCATAGGAGCACGGAATACCTGGGTAAGCACTGAGAGCTCGAAAGCGGCCATTCTGGGAGGCAGAGGGAAGAACTGGGCCAGGTAGGACAATACAGGGAGGGCTCTGGACCGATCTGTAGAGCACGCCGTTGATTCCCAAGGGGGCGGAGCCTGAACCGAGGAGCCTAGCACGCAACTTCAATTTCATCCGAGCAGCGTCCCACTGCATCTGGATCGTGACATCGGGCCCCAAGAGAACGCCCAGGTACATCAGGTACATCAGGAGGAGGAGGAGGAGGAGGAGGAGGAGGAGGAGGAGGAGGAGGAGGAGGAGGAGGGAGGAGGAGGAGAGGAGGGAGGAGGGAGGAGGAGGGGGAGGAGGGGGAGGAGGAGGGGAGGAGGAGGGGGAGGGGAGGAGGAGGAGGAGGAGGAGGAGGAGGAAGAGGAAGGAGGAGGAGGAGCAGGAGCAGGAGGAGGAGGAGGAGGAGGAGGAGGAGGAGGAGGGGCAACCGCGGGCAGCTTCTGTGCCACGGGCCCCTCGCGGCGCCGCGCAAGGAGAGAGAAGGACGAAGAGGAGGAGCGCAAAACAAAAAAGGATAACAAGGCAGCCGCGGGCCCAGGGCGAAGGACAGAAGACGAACGCGAGGAGGCAGGAGGGAGGCCGGAGGGCGAGCAGGCAGGAGCGGCAAGCAGGCAAGCACGGGGGCGGAGGCGGGGGCGGGGGGCGGGGGGCGGAGGGCGCGACCGCGGGGCCGGGAGCCGCCGGGCCCCCGGGCGCACGTGCGTGGGGGCGGGCGGGCGAGGCGGTGGCGTCAGGGGCGCTATAGGGGGCCTGCCCTCGGCAGGCGTCGTCGACCCGGCCCGTCCGGCACGCCCCGACGTGGGCTGCCGCCCGCCGCCGCAGCGCCCCGACGGCCGCGCAGGTCATGCTGAAGGGGCCCCATATGTTCCCATATTTTCGGGGTTTCTGTTTTCCCCCCCACTTCCCATATTTTCTTATTTTTTCGTGGGAATCGAGGATTCATTGTGTCTGTGTGTTTCTTTTCCTCCTGCCATGCGGCGGCAACGCCACGCCGTGCTCCCCGAACATCCGCGCTGGCGCGGGCGACTTCCCGGCCACGCCGTGCGAGCACCCACGCAGCGATGCACGGGCCTGGGGCGGGCCAGGGTGGGCCCGGCCAAGAGCTGCGAAGGGGTCGGTGCACGCGTCCGAGCGGATGGGCAGGCCGGGCGCCCTCGCGCCAGGACCTGACATCTGGCCCTCCGACCCCTCCCTTCCCGTTGCGCGGACGCTTTCCCTACCTGCGGGCGCGGGCCACAGCGGACCCGGGACCTCACAAAAAAGCCCATCTTGGTATGCGTCAGCGGACAAGGGCAGCTGCGCAAGTACGAAGAGGAGGAGGAGGAGGAGGAGGAGGAGGAGGAGGAGGAGGAGGCGAATGAGCAGGAGGAAGAGTAGGATGAAAAGGATGAAGAAGGCAGAGGACGAGGACGACCAGCAGCAGCAGGACGAGGACGACCACCAGGAGCGGGAGGAGCAGGAGGACCACGGGAAGGCGGAGGACGGCAAAAGAGGGGAGCGACAACGACGAGAAAAGAACTCGGATCCAGAAAAACGGCCCGTTTTGGGGCGAGACCGCGATTCTGAACGACGGGAGCAACGCGCCGATCCTATGAGGCCCACGCGGCAGCGAGATCACAATTTGGGAGGACCGAGAACGTTCGTATTGGAAAATCACACCACCGTCATCTTGGGAGGCGAGAGGAGAACGGTATTCATTTGGAGCAATTGTGGAGGAGGTGGGCAGGGAGAGACAGGAAGAAACACGGAGAGGACGAACACCATCAATCACGTGACAATCGTTTCGCCGTCCAGCCAAGGGCCTCTGGCAAAGGAGCAAGATGAGAGCTCTCGTAACACCCAGTCGCGTGGGCCCAGACCGTCTTTCCATATCGTGTTTGACAGTCCAGGGCCCGAAACGAGCCTCCCTCCAAAGGCCCAAATTGAAGAGGAACTGGCCGTCGCGATGTGACGCCAGATTTTGGAGGGAGCAGGGCTCGCCGGCGGCCTTGCCCAAAATCTCGGGATCCAACTTCACGTTGCCAGGCGAGTAGACGCCGTGCACGTTGCCGAACGCGGCTGCCACGGTGAACACGCCACCGGGCACCTCGGAGAGCGCCTAGCGGTGGAGGGGGCGGCACACGTGCGCATGCGGCGCAGAGGTTATGAGCTGGGTGCTGCCACGGAAGAGGAACGCGCGCCCCCAGTTCTCGAAAGAATCGAGATCCTCTGGAGGGGGGTGATCGGGGCCCGGATTTGCGGCTCCTTTGCAATGCGAACCTTTGTTCCTGGAAGCATGTTTCGAAATCCCGAGGTTTGTTTTTAATGACGGTCCCGGGACCCGAGAAAAAAACAACAAAATTCAGAACATTGCGAAACGGTGCGAACAACCGAGCGTCGTCATGTTCCCACGACGCGAGGAAGTCTAAAGCAGACTTCAGTGCGTATCTGGTTCTGCATGCGCGATGACCCCTTGCCGTGTCGCGGCTGCAGGGCCGTCTCAAACCGCGGGTGTTCGGCACAGCTGGCCTGTAAAAGGGCCCTGGTTACAACCACCTAGGGGAGTTCTCAGAATCTCAGGGGAGTCCTGGCCCACGACACGATACAGTCAAACACCCTAATAAGGACGCGCGGTAAGGACGCAAGACCCTTGGAAGCCGAAGTTGGGATTTCTGCGGCGGCGGACGACGAAAACCTCAAGGACGCAAGAGCAAGGAAGAGCAAGGGCGCAAGGGTACCCTGAGCAAAGTCGCGCGTCCTGATTAGGGTTTTTGTCTGTACCACCACCTGGGGGGGTTCTCAGAATCTCTGGGGAGTCCTGGCGCACGAAGCGATACACCAGATTCGCGCCCATGAAAAACCATTACCCGTCGTAGGTTACGCCGTGCTCGCGCCCCCGAAGCTGCAATCCTTTCTAAAGTACGCAATGTCCGCGTTTTCGAGGCCATAAACCATTGCAGATCTGATTGTGTTCGCGCTCCAGAGACCATAATCCCTTTTGTGTTATACAGTGTTCGCGTCTACGAGGCAACACCCTTTCCCACATTACGCCGGATCTGCGTCCCCCGAGACGCGATCCCTCGTCATGTACGCGTTCTTCGCGTCCCCGATGTCATAAGCTCTCGCAAAGTCTGCAGCATTCGCGCTTTCGAGGCCACTCTCCCTCATTAAAGACCCCCAGGACGGTACAAGAGGCATCCAAGGCAGCCCAAGAGTGCTCCAAGGCGCCCAAGATGGTCCCAAGACTGCCCAAAAGGCTCCCAAGAGGCCCCCAAGAGCGCTCCACGAGCAGACCCAAGAATTCCGACGCTGCTTCACGACAGCGCCCAGGCCTCACAACATAGCTCTCGCATACCCCATTATCCGAGAGAGGGGGGGGCAAGCGGCAGGGGGCGAAACCCTTACGGGTATTTGGAACAGGTTTGAAACATGTTAAAGCAATTTAAAAACAGTTGACCCAAATTTGGAAGCTTGAAGAAAGTTGAAATAGTATAGAGCAAGTGAACCCAACATGGGAAGTGCGCGATTAATTTGAACAATCGGAAAACGCTTGGAATTATCAAGTGACGTACCAAACCCTTTTCTAACACGATGCACTCATATCAAGGACCGCTCAACACAAACGAACATGATGAAAGCCGCGAATGTCGCACCCCCCAAAGAGGCCACAATGTCTAGGCTGGGACAGCGTGGACCTCCACTCCGCTGGACCTCCCAAGAGCCCACGACATGGATGCCAATTGTGCGGTTCGCAGCCCCCCAAGGCACGCGAGATCTAGGCTGGGTCTGCGTGGACCTCCACTCCGCTGGGCCTCCCAAGAGCCCACGAAAGTAGCGACAACTGCGCGGCTCGCAGCCCCCCAGGGGGCTGCGAGGTCTCTGCAAATGACTTGCAGAGACCTCGCGGCTCCGCGTGGATCTGCAACAGATCCGCGTGGACCTCCACCCCGCTGGACCTCCAAAGAGCCCTCGAAAAAAAACACGACACGTGCGCGGTCCGCAGACCCCCAAGGAGCCGCGAGGTCTCGGCAGATCCGCGTGGAACTGCATTCCGCTGGACCCCCCAAGAGTCATCAAAAACAGCGACACTAACGCGGTCCGCAGACCCCCAAGGAGCCGCGAGGTCTCGGCAAATCCGCGTGGACCTCCACTCCGCTTGACCTGCAAGGGGCCCACGAACGTGGCGACACTTGCGCGGTTCGCAGCCCTGCATGGGATTTCGAAGTCTCGGCAAATCCGCGTGGACCTCCATTCCGCTGGACCTCCCACGGGCCAACGAAAATGGCGACAATTGCGCGGTTCGAAACCCCCCACGGGGCCGCGAGGTCTCAGCAAATCCGCGTGGACATACACCATAGTTGTCCATACTTGTTTCATGCTTCCATGTTTCTCTGACCCGCACTCATACTTCCGCGTTGCTCTGGCTCTCAAGCCTCCTGGCATTATTCGAATCGACCTCGGTTTGCTTGCTTGGGGCGTCATAAGCCTGAGCCTTCCAAATCTGGCTCGGGCCAGGCCCTTCATCACAAGTTGCTATGCGGAGACGATCTCTCTCCTCAGAGGCCGTTCCGCCAAAGTCCTCTGCAAATCTCAGTTGTGCTTCTTCGAGCTTGTGCGGCCAAGGCCCTGTCGGGGGAGGTCCGCGCGCTCCTCCTCCCGCAACGCCTGCCGTGGATGTTGCTGGCCTACTTCTGACAGCCTCGATGTGTGGGCGCTGGCGGCCGCCGCAATTCTACCTACAGGGCATCGGACTGGGGTAATTATTGGTGGGCTGTACGCGTGCGATGGCCTTGATTGCCGTGTCCACCCGCCACTTGCGTCACCATTCGCAATTGGCGTCGGAGGCATCCCTCCCGATGCCGCTCATCGACGACGTCAGCTTGCCGCGGCGGGGCAGGTGCGCGTACAGTCGAGGCTGCTTAGAGAGGACACGCAAGAGGACACAAGACCCTTCCGAAGGCCACATTGCCATAGGAATGTAGCAGGCACGGGGCGCGAACACACCTTTGATTTCGCGGGGACGAACGCCAGAAGCCTCTTCAGAGCAGCCTCCACTTTCTGCGGTGCCGGTTGAGCCCCTCCCCCCCCTGCTTGAAGGGGCCCTGGGACACACGCAAATAAATATACACAAATAGCCGGATTTCCTATACTTTCGTATATTTTCTTTCATATATTTTCTGGGTTTTTGTCTTCCCCTCCACTTCCATCTTTTCCAATATTTTCCTGGGAGTGGACGATTAATTGTGTCTGCGTGTTTTTTCCCCTCCTGACTGCTTCCTGCTCCAGCCCGCCAGGAGCTGGGCTGCCTCTGTCATGCGGCATGCCTCCAGAGTGTCCCAGCCGAGGTGCCCCTGCGCTCGGGGCCAACCGAGCACGCAGGCACGGGACGGACCCGGTCCCCCGACTCCATGTGTTCTGTCCTCTTCCTCAGAGCGTCGAACCCCGGAGGCCTCGACCCATTCCTGGGACACACTTTTCATCCCGAGTCGTTCTGTTGACGGTCCCGGGGCCCAGCGAGGGCCCCCGGAGGCCGACAACAGGGAAAAGCCTGCCGGCGTGTTTGTGTTCACGACTCGGGGGGGTCTGGGGAGGATGTGGGGGGGGCGAATGAGAAAGCCGTCCTCGGCAGCGGAGGCATAGGGTTAAGTCGGGCCTGTCCCCCTACAGGGGGGTTTTCGACGAAAAATAAAAGATACCCCCAAAATAATCAAAAAATAGTCCGAAAATAGTCTGGGGACTATTTTTTGAATATTTGTTTGACCTTCTTGGGGGATGTTTGGAATATTTTTTATTTTTCGTCGAAAATCCCCCAGTAGGGGGACACGCCCGACATAAGCATAGGGTCGCGTCGCGTCCGAGGGACGGTCGGCGCCTAGGCGTCGGCGCCGTGGCTCGGCGCCTAGGCGTCGGCGCCGTGGCGCGCAGATCTGCTGGCCTCGGTGGGCCACGGCGCTGCCATGTCGAAGGTCTTCGACTCCAGACTGCGCCTGCTCCGTCACAAGGCACACGGCCGCCACTCCAAGTCAAGGCCAAGGGCGGGAGCCGCATCACCACCTCTGTATCTCGCCGATCAGAGCGACACGCGCCCGAACCTGTGCTGTATGCTACACCGTGCTGGGGTGGCGTGGGCGAACGCCACGTGGAAGCAGGCCTAGGCGCGGCATGAGCCTCGGCTGCTCGAGCGCTCTGCTTGGCGCGCGGGCTCCGATGCCCAATATCCACTGTCCGCCTCGTTCTTCAGCAGGTGGGGTGGTGGATCGCCTGCTCCACTCTTGTCAATGATGATATGCGGACAGGAAACTCCCTACTTCGCACGCCTCCGCGAGACCGAACCTCGTCTCTCATTGAGAATGCAACGCCGCCGTCGCCGCCCGCAACCGCCGTGTTTCCTGGTAACTAGGCTCGCCCCTCGACACGGACCCCAGGTCACACCCATGCTGTGTAACTGGTCACAGCTCCGAGCACAGCTCTGGCACACCCATGCTGTGTAACCGCTCACCCCAAGCACCGTACCGTGGTGCGCTGTGGCACTGTAGCTTTCGGGGCCGCACCCTGCGCGCGGTATGGTGATGATTATGAGTTTGGTGCTGCTGTTGATGATGACGATGATGATGATGATGGTGGTGATGAGGATGATGACGTTAGTCTCTTTGTTTGTTTACCGCTATGAAGAAACCCTGCTCCATCGGCCCCAATAGTCGAAGCGATCTAAAAATAGCCTTCTATCTAATATCGCCTAATGTGTGATGCAGCTACGGTGGCTCGAAAATCTCCAACGGCTTGCGATCTAATGCAACAGTATGATGATGACGATGATGATGCTGATGCTGACGACGATGATGATGCTGATGCTGGTGATGCTGTTGATGCTGATGCTGCTGCTGATGAGGATGATGATGATGGTGATGCTGCTGTTGATGATGCTGATGATGAGAATGATGATGATGCTGATGCTGCTGCTGATGATGATGAATGTGATGATGGTGATGATGATGATTATGATGATGATGATGATGATGATGAGGATGATGATGATGATGATGATGATGATGATGATGATGATGAAGGTGATGATGATGGTGATGAGGATGATGATTAGTTTATGATGTCGATGAGGATTGCGGTTCTTCTTCGCTATTATTACTCTGATTGTGATACACTGCCATAGGATCAGTCTGGAGAAGTCGCTCTACAACTGCCTTCCACCCTCGCTCTCCCCGCGCACCCCAAGCGGAAAGGCTCTCTCTCCCTCTCTCTCTCTTGCGTTCACAAGAGGGTGTTCACAAGGCCTCGTACACCTGCCAGATCTCCTCCGGCTTCGAATACAAATCCTCGGGGTTGGCGTCTTCGTTGTCCACGCCGTCCTTCCCCGAGCAGAGGGTGAGGATGAGACGTCGCATCAGCAGGAGGACGAGAACGACGGCGAACACATAGACGGATGAAGATGATGGAGACGAGGACGACGAGGAACTGTCCACGCGGAGCCCTTGCCCTGGACCTGGCGCTGCCGCCGCCTCTTCCGCCACCTGTGCCGAGAGGACCCTGCTCCGGTCGTATCAGCTGTGGCCGTGCACAGGATGCCCTCGATATCCTGCTCATGGTCCCCCCCCCGCGCCCTCTTCCGTAATCCTCCCCCGCCTTCCCCGTCTCTCACTCGTCCCCCTCCTCTTTCTCCCCTCCCTCCCTCGACCGGCACCGATCTGCGAGGGGGGACGAGTCGGCCCGACCGCTACCCCACACCGATTCCCGCTTCCCGCGCCCCAGTCTTCCCACTCCCTCACCCCCAACTGCTCCCCATCGCAGCTCCTCCGCTCTCATCGCCCCTCACCACCCTGAGCACGGCGCACTCCCCGACTTGCCCCACTCCCCCCTCTCACTCCTCAACTCCCCACCACCCCACTCACCACTCGCCCACTCCAGAGGAGAGGGACGACTACGGAGGAGAGCAGAGATGAGGGGGTGGAGATCAACGATACCAGCTACAACTACGCCACTCCTCTTAGCCGCTCCCCTCCCCGCCCACCTCCTTCCCTCCCTTCCTCCCTCTACTGCACTCCCTCTTCCTCCTTACATAATCCCCCACCCATATCCAACCCTCCTTCCCTTCCTTCCCCGCCGTCACTCCCTTCCCCCCCAATCCCTGCAACCCCCCTCCCCACTCTTCTGGGAGTGAACGCCTTGTGACGTCAGGCGCGAGCGACCGTTGGCCGGAGTTTTCGGGGGAGCGTCAGCCAGACCGCGGCGCGGGCGAGGTGAAGCTCGCCGACCCCCCAGCAGCACAAGGAGGCGGGCTGTGACTTTTTCGTCTCGGCGCGTAGCACATATCAAAACTCATCCAGCCCTCTCGGCTGTGATGGTTTAGAGCGTTTCCTTCTACATCCTCCACCCTTCTTCCCTTCCCAGGGCGGGTCGAGCACTGCTCTTTAGTACTATACACCCTTCCCCCCCCCTGACCGGCGGCCAAACCAGAACCATGACGGCCCCCCCCCCCCCCCCCTGGCAGAAGACTATATACAGGGCACCTTGCGGGGCAAAATCTGGACCATACGCGGGCACCCTGTGATCACTTTGCCTCGTTCCTTAAACGTATTGTCCGTAGAAGTCCGATAGAACGTCCTAAGAAGCGGAGTGCTGGGATGACCGAAGCTGGAATCGGTGGGGCGGAATTGTCTCCCGGTGTCTCCCGTTGTCTTCCGTCGCGTCTCGCGTTGTCTTGAATTTTCTCCCTAATCGTGCGCCTATCCATATCACTAGCCATCTACCCCTGTCACTCTCTGTATTCCTCGTCCTCGATCCGTACCCCTTCGCTGGAGGAT